TATATGAAAAGCCAATCTCATTTAGTCTCCGTAAGAGAATTCCATGGTCAACCATGTCAAAAGCGTTTGAGCAATCAGTCATTATCACGTCCAACTGCAATTTATTGTAATCGCCTCACCAGCAAAGTTAGTCAAGACAAACAAATTGCTCACTGTGGATACTCCCGGTAGGAAACCACGTTGTTCCGGTGCAAATAGGTTTCCAAAACTTTCCATAATGTCATTGTACAGAATGGTTTCAAAGATCTTCGCGAGAGAGTTCAGAATACTCACAGGTCGATAATTCTGCACTTCCCCAACGTTACCCGTCTTAAATATTAGAGTAATAATAGATTCCTTAAGTCTATCTGGAAAAGCATCTATTTTGAGTGAAAGATTAAAAAGATGTGACAGTGGCCGCAGAAACACATCAGAGCACCCTTTCAGGATATAGCCAGGAACACTATCACTGCCAGTTGCTTTTCTCGGTTTTAATTTATGTATACTTTGTTTTACATGTTCTTCAGTTATAAGGGAAAAGTTAAAAGATTCCGATAAATTACCCTGATAAATGGAAGAACCCTGGTAAACTGAGCCAAAGTACTGAAAAAACTGGAGGCAATGTCCTGACAGCCATTAAATTTGGTTTCATTCAAGAACATTTCCTCGGGAAAACCACCACTTCTGCTCCTGTCCCTTATAAATGACCAGAAACTAGTAGGATTCCGCAAAACATTATGCTAATCCATACATTATTTAAAATATTTTTTGAATATTTGAAGTTCGAGGGGCCCTCTGAAGGTTGGGGACCGAGGATACAGCTTAAGCTAGCCCGGTTCCACCGTTATAGGTGGTTCAGTTAATCCGCCCCTGGCTGACAAAACTGCCGAAATCCAATTCTCAATACAACCAAATGTGTTGTACTGCAGCAGACTGAGGGGTTTGTTTGCAAACCAATCCGACCAAGTTGGTATCCGGAGACAGGTCGTATCGTGAGTGCCGGCATGACTTGCTTGTTAGCAGACTGATCGGACCGACTTGGTCAAATCGTCGAAACACACGTTCAAATTGCATCCGATTTGGTCGGATACAACGAAATCGTCCAGACGGTGTTGTACGTGAGTGCCAAGCTTTATGACTTCTGATTAGATTCTTATGACTAAATTCTGGTAACGTAAAATCTTATTGACTAAATGCGCGTTTCTGCTGTGGCTTCTTTTATGCCTAAATCACGCTGATCATAGCAGAACCGATATGATCATTATCTTATTTGAAGTCCTTAACAATATTGCGTTCCTGTTACCTACATCATTTAATATATGGAGGTCAGAAAATTGCATGAGCTTTCAGGCTTACAACAGATCATCAATCAGATTCAATAAAAATTAAATTTTTCTGGGGGCCTTCTGAACAACATCCGCACTGCTAAAATCTTTAAAACACACTACCAAATGCTTTTCGATTAGGATTGGGTCAAAGTTATCTGTTGTGCTTAATCCATCCGTTTCCTTAATGTAATACTTTTGTCATGAAAATCTTTACTAACGTTTATTAAAGATATTAATTAGAAAGCTTTCGGGCTAATTGATCATTAAATTTATTAACCATGAATATTCCCAGAATAACTTGGAAAGCAATAAATTAAATGACATTCCCAAGAATACCATAAATTTGATTTTTCATTCATTTGCGTAAAGGAATCTGTGATTTCTAGATCGCGATTCAGCGAAAAGTAATGAATTGCTAAAGAAAGTGGCTGCATAGAGGGAGTGATCTGATTGCCAGCAAAAATACTAACTAAATGTAAATTGATAATTACATAGTTGTTATGCCAATAGCGATACTGTGAAATTTGCATCAATGAATAGATCGAGTCGAATTATCCGAGAGAAACTGCTGAATCGTTGGAAGTTTTTAAACGATTTAGATTCATGTATTAAAAATTCGCTTTGTCGATTTGGAGCACCGTGCTTTGTTCATTGAGGAACTACCAAATAAAGTTTCACTAAGGGTGACTACCGACCATATTGAGGGAAGTGCTGGGCTCGCAAATGTAGTGTGGCCATGAGGAAATTTTGGAAATTATATTTGAATTCCACATTTCAGCACAAGAAAGCGCATTCTAAAAGTAAGTATTAAATGCCTAAGTTTTCTGAAAATTTCCAAAATTAAGGTATAGCTTTGTAACATGATTTTGATTCAAGGCTTGTTAACCCACCGAGCTTGATAAGAGTTGCAGAAGCTACTGAATGTTTTTTACATTTAAATCGCTATAACTTCTAAATTACTTTCATTGTTCGACTTGATGCTTTTGAGTGATTTTAAGCTTGATTGGAAGAGAGGTATAAAATTGCTTTTCGCTGTCGTAGTTGAATGTATTCGTTCTAAACAACATTGTTGAAGAACGCAATTTATAACAAAAAGCGTTTTTTAAGTTTTAACGGAGAAACGTAAATAACACGTTAACACAATAATCTATTTAGTATTAAAGGTCGTGCATACATTTTTTTCAAGACAAAAAATAACAACAGGCCAGGACAGGGTGGAAAATGTTGCTAAGGTTCCAGCTTTAAGAAAAAATAAAATTTAAACACGAAAACACTGGAAATTTTGATGGGGATGCAGTTTAGCAGTTTTTTTGCGATTTGCGGCGATACATGCCGTCCTAGCGGAAAACGTTCAATGGATCTAAAACTTTTGTTCTTAAGGCTTTTTGAAATAATCTCAAATTAACCGTCAAAATCACAAAAAAAATCACTGAAAAATTTACATGAAGATCTGTATGTCTATTTTGGCATTGAATAAGCATGAGTTTTTCGTAGTTCAGAAGGCGACTAGTTGTCCAGTTATGCACATTTTTCGAAAAATCTGCCCTTTCTTTCACGAATAAATGTCGAGATATATTTTATTGCATTCGGAAGGTCAAATATGTGACCGTAAGAATAGATGTCAAATTTATTTCTAATTATAGTTGTATTCCAGCTTTAATATGTATATGCTAAGATTTTATGTGATTTCTTTAACGTTTTAAACATGGTTTGCGTTAGTGGCTATAATAAAATTCTTTCAACTGTAAAAATCATACCATAGCTATCTATACCTAAACTCCGTCCACTATAACTATGGTCGCACGTCATGAATCGTCTATCGAGCGTTGTTGCCATACCCTCTATAAATTCTCGAAGCAGTATTAAGTTATCTCAATGCTGCCTCGCTTTTGCTGATTATTCTTCACGGAATCATAGTTTATTTGAAAAGCACAAATGTGACAAGTACATGATAAATGCAACAAGCAAACGTCAGGTGTCATTCAAAAATGTCCAATCAGTCTACGATCAATTCGGCAGCATTGTAATTTTCACCAAGCTAATAATGTTAAAGATGAATGTAAATAATCAACGAACATCGCTTTAAATTAGGTAGTGTCCTAAAGTACTTCCGCATTTTATGATTGCTTGAGGTTCTCCAATGCCCAAAGCAGAACAAAAAAGTTCGACTTATCACACAAATTTCATGCATGATTGTTTTTATGTTGGTAGTCAAATTTTATCACTGATGACTTGCCACCAAAGTTATAGTGTATGTAGTATAGGTTTAAATAATACATGAAAGCGTCCCTATTCAGTTTGCGGCAGTAGGATTTGTCTCAAAAATATTAACTTTTCCTCAAAAAAAAACAAGCAAATAAAGCCTTGTGGGACATTTGCAGCAGTCATTATATCTTAAAAAATTCGAAAATGCCGCTTTACAACCAGTTCACCAATGAATAAATGAGGAGCATAACCACATGCCAGACAAAATGATATAAAACAAATTTTTGCAAAAGATAATTCCAGTGGCACTTAAATAACTGTTTCGCCTTAATTAAGTATTTGTAATATTACTTAGATTGTTTACTCATTTTTTTAAACGAAATTACTCACATTTTCCAGGTTTCCTCTCTGATATTTCCAAAATAGCAGCAAAACACAATTTTAAATTACGACATCTAACATCTTACATTTCCGAAAATAGAACTGTGGTGCACCAACAGACTGTACTTAGACTAGATTCCAACGCAAGGTGTTTCCTAAGGTGACACCCCCTAAATAGTTTATTTAAAAAAATAGTGAAAGTGCAACACCAAATTCAAATTTGACATCAAGTATTTTTTTATATATAAACACCCTATATATTTTAGGACATACCTGTAGTATTTTTTTCCTGATTTCAAAAATCTATATTTTGCTTATATGTATTTGTAATTTTTGTAAGCCGTTTTTCCTAAATTACGTTTTAAAAATTATAAATAGCAACAAATTAAAATAGCGCTGAAATTCGACAAGGCTTACCCTCCACCCCATAACGGTCGACCGGTAGCACTTTTTTTAATGAAAATGTTGATATCTGGAATGGACGCGAGGGTTCTATTCCATGGCCTTCAAATAGCCCCGACCTAACGCCACTTGATTCTTTCTTTGGCGTTATTTAAAGAATATTGTGCATGAGACTCTAGTTAGAAGCCTTAAAATGGTGGATGCAATTAACGATATCAATATTAATGATCCTCTCTGTAGTTTTTTGTTTCATTTCAGGCTATATTAATTTGTCGCTATTTTAAACTTTTAAAATATAATACAGAAAAAAGTCTAACACAAATCTAGCAAAGTGTATATTTGTTGAAATCAGGAAAAAATCCAATCGATCTGTCTTAAAATATATAGGGTGTTTCAATAAAAAACCCACTTTATGTGAAATTTTGACATTTCCGTGTTTTACATATTTTTTTAAATTCAGTAAATGTAAAAAGTCGGAGTAAAATGAAACAAATTTTATGCTGATCACTTTCACATTTTTTTTTTAATAAACGATCTAAGGGGGTGTCAACTTAGGAGGAAACACATTGACACAAAAATACGCTTTTCCAACTCCATATTATCCAAGCATATTTAAGAAATTGCAAGGGAATATGGAAATTATCCTTCAAGTGCCTATGGAGATCTGAACCTGAAAGAAGAAATAATAATCAATTTTCCACATACCGAGTGTATTTTATCCATAAGGTCACTAATTTGTTCCTTGCTACACATTCTGGAATTCACTTTTTACAACTTAAAACCGAATAGAGGATGAATGTGATATACGGATTCGCAAAAACTCAAACTTCATATCTACAAGGTACCCATCCGTTCGTAGGTACTTGCGATTTATGCGCGCACGTTTTTATATATCGCGGCGTCTGTAACCGCACGCGTCCTACAGGTACCAAAGTGAACCACTGACTAGTTGACTAGTAGCAGGTACGTTAATTTGTTGGTGCTCGAATCGCGCGGTACCTTCTCTTACTCTCTTTTGTTGAATTACTTCCACCTGTATTTGCCGCATGGGACAGGTGCACTGATATGCGGAAAGCTAGCTTTGAATAGGGGTTTAAAATCGATATGCACCGAACACCTTGAGAGGCATCAAACGGTCAACAAATAATGGAACGTGCGAGTTTTTATATTTAAACACATGGTTTTCATAGATGGGATTTTATGGACACCGCGCATTTATTTCGGGGCATGCAGATTTCGGGAAAATTTTACAAATTCGGTGTCTGCATTCGCCTGATATGAAAAATACATATTTCCTTTTCAATGTGGATCAGTGACTCAAGTTTGACTCATTCCCTATTGATGTTCAATTAATGGTAACCATCTAGGCTAGGAGATCAAGCCTTCGCTTTGCGGTTAATAACATGCTGATCTAATAGGACACCCTTTCCGGAGCTTTTACTGGAAAATTCAGTTTTTTACCACTTTCCACCCATTGAAGTTCACTACTTCTTCGTAAGATAACAAAGAAGATCCATGTTAGGGTGACGCAGCTTGAAAAGGTTTGCGCATTTACCAAATTTATGTTTGTATCAGAGCCTAAACTGTTTTACATTTTTTGGTTTATTTCTTTAGATTTTACTAGTTTTGGTTAGCACTGGTTAGATTGGTTAAACGCTCTTTTTAATAATGTTTAAGGTAAAATGATTTCTGTTTTCTTTGGCCCTATATCTTCACATGTTCCCTTACCCGATTTACGAATAAATCCACCTGTGTATCTATGTGTTAAGCTAAAAAAACGGAAATTGTAATTAAGCTTTATGCAGTTATTTTTTGTGCGAGTTATTTCTTCTAATATGTTTCCTCTACTATCTCATCACCATAAACTAACTAACCCAAACTAACTCCTACCTAAATCGAGAGAAAAATTTAAAACTCCCCTGTACAAGGTGATTGATTTAAAAAATTTAGTTTAACACTTTTTGTCATAAACCTCAATGCAGGTACCAAAATCGATTATAAAGGTACCCAAGTGCCGTTGAAATGAAAACAACTACATTTTGTAACTGACCATTTTTCACATAAATAGAGAATTTGTGCCTCCATTGGTAAAATGGCTCAACTGTTTTTTAATTTCGCATATTACCATTTCTCACGACATTTTTTGTAAAAATTTCAGGTTTTTGAGAGAATAATTTTTTGAAATATTTTTTTCTGTATTCCCTCATCTCCTCATACAACACTTTCAGATGAGTGGCGTTAATTAAAATCACCCTGTACAAGGTGCCTGATTTAAACCGTCAAACATGATACTACCCTGACCTAGCCATAGAGATGAGAACAAATGATGAGAACCATGAGAACATTCACCGATGAGAACAAACTACCTCTAGATCACATAAAGAAAGTACTCAATATACGAAATATCCCACGGAGTGCAAGGCAATATTATGTGCTAGGCTGGGACGAATCTGCCCAAGCCCTGTACAAAGAACACCAAGCAACCGGCGGCACCGATAGTAGTAAACAAATCTTGGAAGAATTAAACGAATGCAAAAAGGAGAAATTGGACCTCCCAACTGAGTTTTGGTTTGTCTGCAAACCGATACAACCAAGTTGGTCGGATCGCCGAAACACACGTCAAATTTGATCCGATTTCGTTGTAACCAACAAAATCGGGCGACGGCGTTGTGTTGTGACTGCGGGCTTCACTGACTTGTTGGTAGACTGATTGGACGAACTTGGTCGGATCGTCGAAACACACGTTCAAATTGCATCTCATTTCGTCGCATACAACAAAATGGGCCCGCCGGCGTTGTACGTGAGTGCCGGACTTAATATCGCTTTTGCCAAAAAAGTGTAAGTCTCAATTTCTACCCCAAATTCCTCGGCCTTACACTTACCTACAAAAACATCTGGAATATGCGAGTCAAGAGTCGTAACAATAGCATTAGGAAACTGGATGGGACCTCATGGGGACCGACGCCGCAACTCTGCACACTGCTGCTCTGCGAGGTCAGAGCTTATCCCGTGGAATGTTATGCCCCTGTGTGGGACCGGAGTGCCACATACCAAAATAATACAAGATGTAGATGTTCACCAGAACGACTGTGTGAAAATCGTCACGGGCACCCTGAAATCTAAGGTGGAAATCCCAACAAAAGAAAGTCGAAATAATAGAAAAGTGGCCGCCCGGCAGGAGGTGCAATGTTAATACACCGACGGCTCACAGGTGAACTATACGGCATGGTCTGGGGCGAGCGTGTACAGATAAGACACCAACAGGAGAGCGTCCGTTTTGCTGGGAAACTGAACGACAGTGTTTCATGCCGAATTATTTGCCGTCCTAGAGGTTTCCACAGTTGCCGGGAAGTTACAGGACCAGACAGAACCAGATAGAGTGATCGAGATCTACTCCGACAGCCAGCCTGCCCTCAAGGTACTCTTAAGTGTTAAGATGGGCACTACACCGATCCAGGATTGCTGGGATACCTTCAACAAATTGGTAGAACAGAAATAAATAAACCTAATCGACAGGTGGGAACGCTCCAAAATAAATGACTGGGCTCTTAGAGGCACCACAGAGATGTGGGGAAAGGCGAAAAGGTGTAGGCAAGCCAAATAGTTCATAGGAACCCCAAGTGACAAGTTAGGCCAAGGTAACAGGGCCGGTCAAATGGTTGATGTGAAGGAATCGCTGGGCCCTGAGAATTGTGGTTGGAGTCATGACAGGCCACTGTGTTCTGAACAGACACCTACACCTACAAGGAATTGGTGATAGCCGTGTGTCCACAATACGGAATTGCGAAGGAAACATCATGCCACCTATTATTATACCTCCACACTCTCCCCATCAACAAATTGTCTTCCTTTCAGTGGAGGCGGATCCTTGTCTTTGTCAAGGAGACGGGACGCCTAGGTGGCGAAAATCAGGAGTGGTGAGGTGAACATGGATCGAAGGGGAATGGTGAAAAGGGCCTTTAAGGCCTACTCACAGGAGCCATCGAATCCCCCACAATTCTACTAATACTATTACGACCCTTAAATCTACACCCATTCCCTGACTGCATACTATCAGTAACATTCCACCCCCATAACTAAGACGGAAGGTTGCCACTGCAAGAGAGCGGGCTAAACTACAACATCATAATCACCCACAGGACCTTTCAATTTACGGGACCCTAAACAACCCTCCACAAAACCTCCTCAAAATCGAAGCTCCTTATGGGCTGAAGCAGAACATAACTACCAGACCAAAGAAGACTGGCGCCATAAATGGAACGTGGCACCAGTACACAAACAAGACATAGCAGACCCAACACCTGCTCTACCAGGTTTGATCTGAAGACAAGCACTTGGAGCAGACTGGATGGAATTAGGACAGACCATGCAAAATGCAATGCCATGATGTATAACTGGGGACTTTGCGACTCCCCAGCCTGTGACTGCGAAGCTGATGCGCAAACTGTGGAGCATAATGACCTTTGTGGAAGGACCTGGGACCGTTGGAAGACATTATCAGTGTGACACCCCTTGCACTCGACGCGCTGCGTTTCCTGGATATAGAGCTCTGGCTGAAGTACTAATCCCATCTGTCAAAGCAAATTATACTTTTACGAAGAACTGAAACGAATGTGGAAGTAGCAAAGTTCCACACCAACTGAAATAATACGCGATAGTTTGAAACTCTGAAACTTCTACTGACCTGAACAGAGCAAATCGGTGAGAGCAAATTCACCTGCTCTAGACCACGTGAAGGACGATTATAATAGAAACGTTGTAAAAGAAATAGGTTGTGAATTTGTGAATATTGAATTTCCGTCTCACCGATTTTAAGCAACCGGCAATACACAAATTCCCCGGTAGTGCTCACGTAGACTCCTGAAAATCAGGCCCCAGGTGCGTGAAAAATTCACTTCTTGGCCGAGGATCGAACTCGGATCTTAGGCATGGCAAGCGGATGCGTTCATCACCACACCACTGTGACCACCCATATTTATATGAATTTAATGAAAAAAAAAATTCTTCGCAGATGCTATCAAATTCAATGTTGCAATTTTCATTTCCATTATTGAATTGCTTCTTTTTCAAAATAACCTTCCATAGCACGAATTAAAAATCGCTTTATACAACGCAACTGATTTAAAATTTCAAAGATTATGTCATGTTTAAGATATTAAACAGATGGAGAAAATTTTCAGAACAGTCCAAAATCTTGAATTTCATACACCTCGGCCTTCCTCTCTCTCGATATTCTCTCGAATCTCGAATAGCTGAACAAGAAAATTGCACTGAATGCAACGTTCCAACTTTCCCTACACATTGTGATTTATTTCCAAAAAAAATCCAGATAATCCCTTGCAAAATGTGTCTCGCACTGGCGTGCCTACTTGGAAAGGTAAATATTAATGCTTTATTAATATTTCATAAATTAGGACACGTTCGGCATAAGAACGTACTCATTTCTAACACAGGAACTAAAGCAAGTTCTCCACTTAACACAATCAAGGTAAATACGCGCTTTATTCAAAGTCGGTAACAGTACATCAAGATTCTATTTAAAATTGTGAAAGTTGCACCTTTATGCAAATTCCATCGACCCGTTATTGTTTATTTATTTATAATGGTATTAATTTATAATTCTCAACGCGCGTAGCAAAAGTTTTCTTTTTCCTTTTGCAAAAAAACTCACAGTTAGTTGCATATTTAAATATGCACACGCCTTGGAAAAGTCCAGCGCGTGACGCTATCTGGTTTATTGCTTTCTGTCTTCTTCCACGCTATTTACATGAACGCAGTCCAAGTAGTAATTTTGAGAGTATTATCTGTGGTATGATTTTCAGGATTAATAGGCTTGAAATCAGTCTCGTAGGTCCCCGAAATTAAAATTTTTAGATGTAAATCGCCTGCTGACCATGATACCAAAAATTGTTCTTAAAAACATGCTTTTCATCATCATTTGCAAAGATAAAAGAGTGGAACTCAAAATCTCAGCAGCAAAATTTGATATTATTGTGCTCGATAATGAATTATCCGAAAAATAAATTTAA